AGCCAGACACAGATGCCCCAAAGGGGGGTGGGGGTGGGGAGTGAGCCAGACGGAGGGGCTGGGGGTAGCTGCCTGTAAGAGGGGACTTGGACACCAGGAGGCTTCTTAGACACGACACCTAAAGCACAAGCAATAAAGGAAAACAGATAAATTGGACTCAGTACAATTTAAGACTTTCTTCTGCAAAGGATACTATTAAGAGAGTGAAAAAAGACAGCCCATAGAATGGGACAAAATATTTGCAAATCGTCTATCCGATAAGGGTCTAGTAGCCAGAATATATAAAGAACTCTTAGAACTCAATCATAAAATGATTTTTTAAAAAAACCTCATTAAAAATGGGCCGAGGGTATGAATAGACATTTCTCCGAAGAAGATATACAAATGGCTAAGTACACAGGACGACGTGTGACATCACTAACCATCAAGGAAACGCAAATCTAAATCCCAAGGAGATACCGCTTTGCAATCACTAGGAGGGCTGGAATCAAAAAAAAAAAATGGAGGGCCGGCCCGGTGGCGCACTGCTACAGTGCGCCGCTTGGGAAGCGCGGCAGCGCTCCTGCCGAGGGTTCGGATCCCACATACAGACCGGCCGCTCACTGGCTGAGCGAGGTGCGGGAGCAACACCGAGGGTTGCGATCCCGTTGCCGGTCCCGGTCCGGTAAGGGAGTGACACTGAGGGTTGCGATCCGTTGCCGGTCACGAAAAAAGACAAAAAGGAAAATAGCAGGTGCTGGTGAGGTTGTGGGGCATCCTCGTGCACCGCTGGTGGGACAGCAGCTGTGGAAGACAGTCTGGCAGCTCCCCAACAAGTCACACGTAGAATCGCCACTCGGCACACCAACTCTACTCCTAGGTATACACCAAGAGAATTGCAAATTGATGTTCTAACAAAGCCTTGCACACAGATGTTCATAGCGGCATTATTTACAGTAGCCCAAATGTGGAAACAGCCCAAATTTCTATCCACGGATGAATGAACAAACGATACATGAACAGTGATGCATCCATTTGATGGAATATTACTCAGCCATAAAAAGGAATAAAGCTCTGACACATGCTATAATGTGGATACACTTCAAAAACATCTTAGTTTTGCTAGCGAAAGGACAGACACAAAAGGCCACATGGTGTGTGATTCCACTGATAGGAAATATCCAGAACAGGACAATCCACAGAGACAGAGCAGATTGGTGGCTGCCAGGGGCTGGGGGAGGGAAAGGGGGAGCGACTGCTGATGGGGATGGAGTTTCCTCTGGGGATGATGAAAATGTTCTAGAATTTGATACTGGTGATGGTTGCACAACCTCGTGAATGTACTAAAACCACTGAATTGTACACTTTAACAGGGCGAACTGTATGGTATGTGAATGTATCTTTAAAAAAAGAGGAAGAATTTTCAGCCCCCAGAACTTGATGTATCATGGGAATTATACACCCCACGCACTTTCTTTTAACTTACATTCCTTAAGGGTGTTTCAAACCATGTACTTGACAAATAATACGCTGTATGGACTTCATTTTGATAGTTAAGTCACTTCGCGGTCTTCAATAAAGTGCTTTCTGGGCCGGCCCGTGGCTCACTCGGGAGAGTGCGGTGCTGATAACACCAAGGCCCCGGGTTCGGATCCCATATAGGGATGGCCGGTTCGCTCACTGGCTGAGCGTGGTGCTGACAACACCAAGTCAAGGGTTAAGATCCCCTTACCGGTCATCTTTTAAAAAAAAAAAAGAGGAGAAATAGGCAAAGAGGGAAGAGTTGGGGAAGGGTGTTCCTGGCAGAGGGCATGGGGTTTGGGGACATGGCAGTGAAGGCTAAGGGCCGGGCCAGGGGTTGCTCTGTGTCGCCTAGTCATCTCCTGCAACCCATGGTCCCTAGAAACCTCTGACACCCCATTCCCGTCCTGGCCCGAGGGCAGAGGCAGAGACAACATCTCTTTCTGACCAAACCCAGAGGCCGCTTAAGAGACAGAGGAGGAAAGAGTCTGGGGAGGTAAACCGAGGCAGCCAATCTCCCTGATGGAGACATGCTTCTTGCCTCCTGGTGGGAATCACAGAGAAAGGGAGAGACAGACAAAGAAAGACAGATGGGGGAGAGGAGGTGAGACAGGAGCAGGGGCTGTGGAGAGGCTGCCTTATTGCATCCATTTTACAGACCAGAACACTGAGGCCAGCAAGGACAAGTCACCTGCTGCCGGCTGAACTGCAGCTGGAAGAATCTTTGGAGGACTCACAAGTTGGGTTCCGAGTCTCCTGCTCCAGCACCCCACAACCTAAGAATAAAACCCTGGCCCCCCCAGATCCCCATAGGCTGTGACCTCCATCTCCCCTTCATTCAATCCCACCAGCCACACCTGCTTCAGGCTCCATCCTGCCTCAGGGCCTTTGCACTCGCTCTTCCAGCCCCTCTTCACCACCTTGGCCCTAGCACTGCCTCCTCCAGGAAGCCCTCCCTCACCCCCATTCACATTCCCACTTGTCACTCTTGCAGGTTGATCATAACGCTGTGCAATGATTAGAATAGTGTGCCTTTCCGACCCAACTAGGAACCCTCCATGACCAGGAAGATTCTGACCCGTGCAGGACAGGGCCTGATATACAGTAGGCACTTAACACTGACTTCTGGAATGAATGAATGAAGCTGAACTATGACATGGGGGCTCCCACAGTGACTCCTGGAGCTGCTGGGAGGAGCTGAGGGACCCACACTCTGAGGAGCTCCGGAGTCATGGTCACACAGCATTCACTCAGTGAATACTGGGCCAGGGCTCTGTCCAACCCATTGAGGTAAGGACTCCAAACCCGCTTCCTATTTTACAGAAAGGCAAGCAGAAACTCCTGTCGGTCATTTCCTAGCGTCAGAATCAGGACTTAATGTGGCTTCAACATAAAAGGGAACCTGATGGAAAATTGTGAGTTTGGGATATGGCTGGATCCAGGGACTAACGCTCCATCTCTCTGTGCACTGTCCCCCCCTGCAGACTTCTCTTGCAGGCAGGCTCCCCCATGGTGGAAAAGAGGCTCCTGAGCTCCAAGCCTCCCTTTGCCCAGCTCGGCCTCTCCCTCTGGAAACAGAGTGACCCTTTCCCTCATGCGCTCTGGCAAAAGTTCCAGCAGGTGCTCAATAAACCTGTCTCCTACTCCTCAGACCCAAGGGGCTGTGCCTCGGGTCGGGTTTGTGGTTAACTCGAGGGGCCACCCAATGGGGTCCTGTAACACTTGACCCTACCTGGAGCCCCAGGGATCAGGGCGCTCTGGTCACTCTGGTGAGGCCCGTGACCCAGCATCCCTCCTGTCTGTCCGCTTGGTCCCGCCCCTGCCCAGGCTTTCTCAGCCTGGAGACCAGCCCTGGAGAATGAGGTGAAATCCTCAACGGAGGGCATGCCTGGTGGAGGGCACGCCTCGTGGAGCGTACGGCTTGAGCGCAGGCTGGGAGGTGGGAAGTCGCCGGAGGGGGCGGCCAGGCCTCTGTTTCCCAGCCTAGATGCATTGATGGGGAAACTGAGGGCTCCCAAAAGGGGCGGGGCCTGGGCCTCTCGCCTCCTGGCCCACCTGCCACCAGTGCGCTCTTTCTCTTTCGCCACAAAATTCAGAGGTTGTGGATTTTAATTCCGCCCCCTCGGTCTGAAACCGTAAAAGTCTGTTTTGCAAACGCCACGGGAGGGGGCAGGGGGCAGGGCGGACCGGGCCCGGGAGACACGCGCCACCGCTGCCACCTGGTGGCCATGGGGAGAACCAGCGACCACCTGTTTATCCCCGGAGTTGGGATAGGATTTCAGGAGGAAGCCCCAGGCGGTGTTGGGGAGCAGGATGCGGGGCGTCGGGCGGTGCCGACAGGAAGAAGGCGATTCAGGGTGCGTGGGGGGCTCTGGGCGTGAGAGGGAGGATGGTGTTCCGGGTCCGGGCCCTGGCCCATGGCGGGGGGCAGACGACCCCTGGGAGGGGCGGGGCTGTCCCTTCCCCACCCCCATCCAGACTTCGCAGAGTTCTTATCTGGCTCTGTCTCCCCCAGACTGGGTGCTCCTGGAATGAATGAATGAATGAATGAATGAATGAATTCTCAGGCTCCTATTTGGGGATTTTAAGGACATTCAAGCTTCAATCAGGAGAAAGACTCACAAGAGGAGGCTCATTTATTAAGCTTTTGACCCCCTACAACAGCTCTGTGAGGTCAACATTATCATCAACCCCATTTTACGGGGGTGGGGGGAGACCGGGACTGCGGAGGGGCCATCACATTCCCCAAAATATTTAGAGCCCCCCTTACTCCCCAGGTCTGGATCCTCCAAGCCTCGAGACCGACCCCACAATGCTGCGGAGAGCCCAGACTCCCCGTCCAGTGCTCCTGGGAGAGGAAGCCCAGCGCAGGGCCCTGGGATCGACTTGAGCTCCCTCTGGTTCCTCCCCGCCCCCAGTCTATTCAACCCTAGAACAGGCTAATAACAGGGCCCGTCCCTGCCCTGTGGATGACAGGCCTGGCTGGGCACAACAGCTTCTGTTTCATGGAGGATTCTAGGGTTCCCACCACAGGATCTGTGGCAACAGGCGCTGGACAGAGTAGGTCAGAGAGGGAGGCAGGGGTGCTGAAGCCTGGGAAAGGAGCAGCTCTGGGACACTCAGGCCCGAGTTTGACTCGCGCTCGTGCTGTGTGGCTTCAGGGAAGTCACTCACCCACTCTGAGCCCCAGTGGCCACATCTATAGAATGGGACAGCCATGGTACCTCACCTCATAGGGTGGTTATGAGGATTGGGTGGGGAGGGATCATGTGAGTGTCTGGATGGACTGGTCTGGGTATACCATAAACGCTTAATAACCAGCCGTTGTGATGGTGATAGTCAGTCTTCCTATCTGTAAGACGAGGTGGACATTCCTGTTTCTCCCTCAGGCCCCCAGGCCCACCAAGAGTCACCAAACCTGGGACTCTGCATTAGGTCTCCCAGGAGCAGCGGGAGTCTAGCTGCCTGGGCAGGGCTATTGCCCCAACCACTTTGCCCACCAGACCCTAGGACCTCGGCCTCAGAGTGTCCTTGCACGTGTCTCTTGTCCTCCAAGGACAGCTCTGTATCCAGGGCCGGCTCAGGGATGCCCCAGGGCAGCTCTTTCTTCTCCGTGAAAGGCTCGGTCCCCTTGCCTTTGTTCCAGGACATCTCCACCACCAGGGCCTCTTGCGGGGTCACCTCTTCCAGGAAGTCGGTGGGACTGGTCCACTGCCAAGTCTGGAGAGGGAGGGTGGGGCCAAGGCTGTAGGTGGGGCCCTATTTCCCCACCACATAAGGATGGAATGAACCAGGTCCCTGCTGGCTAAAATTCTCAGGCCAGTTCAAGGATTGACTCTGCCTCAGTAGCCCCCATTCAGTCCTTCTTAGGAAAAGCACCCCATTCTTCTTTGGGGAATTGTCCCTCCTCTTCTCACAGTTGGGTGGTTGGGAAGAGCGGTGGCCCCACCCCCATTCTAGCAATAGGTATGTGACCTTGGCCCAGCCAATCAGAGCTTTCCCGTCCCCTGGTTCCAGTCACAGGCTCAGGGATGGGCATGTGGACCAAACTGGAGTGATCAATGATGGCCCTGAGACTTTTGCTCTAGTTAATAGGGAAAATGGAGACCCTACTTCCACCGGGGGAAGGCTGAGCCTGCCTAGGAAAGGACCCTGCAGGGAGGAGAGCACTGTGGAGAGAAACATCCCTAGTTCTGGATCCAGCCTTGTCTGAAGCCCACCACCTTGGGAAAGTTTTTCCATCAGGCTCCCTTTTTGCTGAAGCCACATTGAGTTCTGTTTCTGCTGGTAGGAAATGACCTACAGGAGGTTCCTCTCTGGTCTGCCACTTGCCTGTCTGTAAAATGGGAAGGGGTTTGGAGCACTGGTTTTGGAGTCTCTATCTCAGTGGGTTAAGAGAGAATAAAATGAGCTCATGCATGGCCATTGCTCAGCAGAGCCCTTGTCCAGAGGATGCACCCAATAAATGGGACCTGGAGTTAGAAAAGGAGGCCTTACCTGCTTCCCCTGGCTGCTGGGGAACTCGATGGCAGAGCTAGCGCGGGGTGTGGGCAGGGGTGGGCACAGGCGCCGTGCAGCCCTGGGGGGGAAGGGCAGCCAGTCAGAGGAGCAGCGTTTCTGTTTTTACTTTTTAATTGTTCTGACTTCGTTTTTTCATCTCCATTAAGCTATAGAGGGCGTGAGAATTGGGGCGAAGGGAGTCGTACAGACTCAGGTTCAAATCCCACCTCTGCCCCCACTGCAGGCCAATCCCTGACCAACTGGGCCTCAGTTTCCTCATCTGTAAAGTGGGCACAATCGACTTACTCTGTGTGACAGGTTGTTATTATTTACTATCACTATTATGGATCATCTTGGGGGGCGAAGCTGCTACTTACCTGTTCACGGCGAGGTACCCAAGAATGCCCAGGAGAAGGATGCTCACGAAGCTCCCCAGAGACACAAGGAGGATGGACAAATAGGAGACCTGGACTTCTGAGGGTGGGAGAGCTCGGGTTGGGAGAAGGACAGGCCTGGGCCTTCCACCAACTTGCTGCTGATCCTGGCATGTCCAGGTGCTGCGGTTAGTTTCCTTATCTGTGAAGTGGGGGGCCACGGAACCCACCACCAGGAACCTAGCGCAGAATAAAGACCTGGCATGCAGGAAGTGCTCAGGACACTGTAGCTCCAGGCACCACATGGTGCCCCCTGGACCCAGACCTGCCCACCCCACACTAAGCCCAGCTCATTCATTCTCTTGGATCCAATTGCTTCTCTTAGGACTGAAAGAACACCAGGCAGAGACCATCGCAGGAACAGGGATCATTTGGCCTCCAAATCTCTCATGGACATGTGCCTCAAGACAACAGCCTGTGTCTTTATCCTTGTGATGAGAGAGACACTTTCATTCATTCGCTCGATAAACAGCCACCTGCCCCCTCCTCCTTCCCAAGAGCCCTCAGGCTGGGGTGTGGCAGAGCCTGACCCAGATACCCCCAACCCCAAGATGTCAGGCCAAGATGGAGAAGCGGTTGCAGATGGTGGGGTGGGGGGCAGAAGGAGGCAGTGAAGGCTCCCTGGAGGAGAAAGCTTTGGGGCTGAGTTTTGAAGGATGAATAGGAGTCTGACAATGGAAGAAACAAACATTCCAAGCAGGGGGCTGCATGGGCGGGGTCCCCAGAGTGTGAGAGAAGGCTGATGAGGGGAACTGTAGGAGAAGTTTGGATCCAGGGCTGGGACTTGCTCCTGAGGGCCATAGGGAGCCATGGAAGGAATGTGAGCGAGGGTGGGGCTGCTCGGGTCCTATGGGAAGCTCGGTGCCGCGTGTGTGAGGTGAGTGCCGGGCCCCGCCCCCCCGCTCACCAATGCTGAAGCGCTGGGGCTGGCTCCAGGCACCGCGCGTCCCTGCTGTGTCCGCTCGCACCTGTACCGTGTAGGCTGTGCCCGCACGCAAACCGTGGAGGGTGACTCGGGTCTCTGTGGGCTTCACGGTGCTCTCTGTGGGGAGAGGCAGCCATGGGTCTCAGGACCCCTTTACTCCCTGGAGGTCAGTCCCTGACCCAAGAACGAGTCCTAGCGATGCTGCCACACCCTGGGGATAGGGGTGGGGCTCGTGGACATTTCGCTGAGATTTCTTCCCTAAATGTACCCATCCACCTCAGCTTATTTGGAGAAATGTTGTTCTTCAAAATATTCAGCAAATGATGCTTATTTCTCTCTAATTCTAACTTCCCTCCTTCTACCCGTCTTCCTTCCAGCCACATCTGCCTCCTCGCTGCTCCCTAAAGGCACCAGGCTCAGTCCGACCTCAGGACCTTTGCACTGTTGGCTGCCCCAGACCCAGCCTGACTCACCCTTTCCTCCAGATACCTGTATGGTTTCCTCCTTCACTTCCTTCGGGTCATTAGGGGCAGGGTTAGAATTAGCTTCGTCTATCTTGTCCCCAGTGTCCCCAGCGCACAGTAGCATCTCAATAAGTGTTTGTGGAATTGTATGAAATTAAACAAATGAAATACTTTGTAAAAAATCCTCAAGATGAGGGCCGGCCCGGTGGCGCACTGCTACAGTGCGCCGCTAGGGCGTGCGGCGGCACTCCCGCCGAGGGTTCGGATCCCACATACAGACCGGCTGCTCACTGGCTGAGCGAGGTGCGGGCGCAACACCGAGGGTTGCG